AAATTTCCTTCCGTAGAATTTTCCAGTTTTTTTTTCTGACGATTGCTTTCAACGTTATTATCATATTGGAACAATAAAAAGAAGGCTGATAGTTTCTAAAGAAACTGTTTGGGGCTGCGTCGGTGGGGGTAACGAAATAATTTGAATATATCAACAAAGTTGAAATGGTAAATTGGCCACCTTTACGATTATAAAAGCTGACGTTTCGAGCGTTAGCCCTTCGTCGGAGCGAATAGAGGAATTGTAGGTTGTATGTGCTTTTAAAGGCAGAAAATGGAGCTATGTTATTGGTGGGAACATGGCAACGAGCAAAACAAGAATAAATTAGTGGAATGAAAAGCGTTCGTTGATACCTGCGGGATTTAGACTGCCGGTTTGAAAGATGAGCTTTTTTTCAAGAGTTTTACGGCTTTCCGTGCTACCTAAGTGCAAGGAAAGACCGCAGATTGCCATATGTTGCTTAGAATGAGTAGGTAAATTAAACTTATGCAACATATGGCAATCTGCGGTCTTTCCTTTCACGGAAAGCCGTAAAACTCTTGAACAAAAGCTCATATTTCAAACCGGCAGTCTAAATCCCACAGGTATCAACGAACGCTTTTCATTCCACTAATTTATTCTTGTTTTTCTCGTTGCCATGTTCCCACCAATAACGTAGTTCCATTCTCTGTCTTTAAAAGCACACACAACCCACAATTCCTCTATTCGCTCCGACGAAGGGCTAACACTCGAAACGTCAGCTTTTATAATCGTAACGGTGGCCAATTTATCATTTCAACTTTGTTGATATATTTAAATAAAAAGAAGGGGTCACCGGACTTGTTTTCATGCAATAGCTTTCGTGAGTTTAGCAATTCCCACGCGCGTTCTCGCGCGTTTAAAAATCTGGATTCTAGAAGATCGACATTTGCTCATGATCTGTTATAGCTACCGCTGACTATCGCGTGTGTTCGCGCGAGCACCGACGATCTGCTGTTTACAGACGTTTGTTGCTTAGAAAATCATTCAATAGCCGTCAAAGACAGCCTCCCGGGCTCATTTCATCACCAGAAATCAGCGGTATATCGTATGTCAGCGGTATATCGTATTACAGACAATTCCATTGGGCGGCGGTGGAAGTGAAGTGAGCACGTAACTTTTTATTTTCGTAAAACCCCATCAGAGAAAGGTCTGGTACCTTTCTATCCCAGAAAGCCATAGGAGACGTCAAAACAAGGAAAATGACGGCCAAATTGTGCAGTTACTGGGACTTGTATCTTCCGTGTTCTTCCTTCCTGAAATTGGGGTATTTAAAAGTGGCGTATTTGGCTTTTCGCTCTGTGAAAATACGAAGAGTTTCCCGACTCGAGGAAAATTTGTGGACCAACATATTTGATCGTTTACGAGCGATTTAGTTGAGCAAACTTCTGCAGAATGCATATCGATCTACGCAGTTGCGAATCTTCACAAAGTTGTTCCCACGACAAAAGAATTGTAACACCTAGTCGACGCAGATTTTTAGAGTTTGTATCGGAAAATGGAGTCAGAATTATGAGTTTACTCGTATACCTTGGGAAAAAATAAGCTTGAATTTGAGTATTTCTTTTTCGTAGCGATGGACGCTTTAACCGATGCAGGCTGCATTTCCAAGTACGCAGCGAAAGAATATCCCATTCTTAGAGAGCTATTTTGAAAAAACAATCTTTTCCCATACATTTTCTTATACTGTTTCGGCGCCATTTTGGTTGTAACACGAGAACCGCCTCCGCCGTATTGTCCCAAACTTCTGGCAATGTAAAGGACCTACTCACAACTTCTGGCTATATTATATTATTTTCATTGAAATTTCCCAGTCTTCTTTCGCTTCAGGCAGATTATCCTTCACTTGAGTTTTCCTTTTTTTGCCGTCGCAAGATTTCATGTTGGTTGGATATTTCGTTTAGATGTGAAGCAACCGTTATGTCTCCGAGAATCTTCACTTCTGTCTCCTGCATACGCAGTGGTCGTTCAACAATACGCGCCGTTAGGGAAACTTCTTACAAAAGTAGAAAAAAGACCTCGCGCCGCCATCTTTGTTTTGAATTTTCGTCTTTTCATCTCGCGCTTCTTTCGCACGTTTCTCTCGCGCGTGACGCAAGAGTGACCTGTTCCCCGCGTGATGAAATTAGTACCAGCCACCTTAAATAAGAACTGAAAGTTTATGTGTATTTCTCAACTACGAGCAATCATTTTGGTAAGCCAGGGACTACGCGATGTATCTTGGGTGTGCATAGGTCTTAGAGCGTAGACGCCTCTTTGCAGGACGAAGTTAAAAAATAGTTTACGACTTACAAATACACAGATACCATTGCGACACCATGGCTCTTCTAGATGGCCTTTCCATAATTAGTTTTCTACGAGTTCTGAGGGATTTCGTGTTTTCTTTTGGAGACAATGTGAGGTGCTTATTTTTTATACAGTGGAACCTCGATTTAAAGAAGTGTCGAGGGACTGGGGAAATTGGTTCGTCACATCAAGGGGTCGTTATATCGAGATTCTGTAGCGTTCATTTTACTGTAACTTTATCTGGACTGAAACTGAAGTATAATTCGTGTACTCTGTTATCGATAGTTGATCCTACTCCATTTTCTTGTGAAAAATATGTGATCGGACTCAACTGCTCCAAACATCCATCACACAGTAATCTCGTGTGTGGGAAATTAACATCTCCTACCCCCAACCCTGCAGGAGACAGGACCTCCTTTTATTCGTCCCTATCCGAGAAGACCAGAATATCTAACCATTTCTTGATGTTATAGAAAGGTAGCAAATTCTTCTTAATTATTTTAAGACCTTGAGTGTTGGTCCGGCCGGGGCTCGAACCCTCGACCTCACGCACAACAGTCCAGAGCACTATCCATTGGGCTTAACAATATAGTGTCCGTGTCTATTGCAGGACATTAAATCACTTCTTTGGGTTTGTCTGGGCGATAAGAGTGGAGCGTTTCTTTAGGGTCAAAATGGCCCGGCAAAATAACAGAGCGAAATTTAGAAATTCGCTTAACCGTTGCTTATGGTACATCTGTATTCTGGTGAAGCATGATCTTTCGATTAGCCAATCAGAGTGTGCAATACACCGAAACTTCATCAAAATGAACGTTAAGTTATTTTGTATCAGCTCATAATGTATTATATGAGACCGTGAGCAAAATTTCGTCTATTCATATAGCCTTCTTTATGAACCTCCGATGGTGTTTTTTTTTTTTACAATGAATGGGAATCATGAACACGTGTGCAAAATCACCAGAACTAACAAACTGTTTTTTTATTTCTTCATCTTGTCTATAAAACAGTTTCTTTTATGATGCGTCAAAAAATGCTTATCAAATTTTACAGAAACATCAAATACACCATCAGCAAAAAGAGAAAAACGACACGAGAGGCATTCACCGTGGCAGAAGCAGCAACTTGCTTGTCACACTTTGACTCTTTTGGTGGCAGAGAGCGGGTTATCTTCGGCACTGGCAACCTGTTTTGGGGTATTTTTCCCTGTTAAATACGAAAATCAGTCGATTGAAATATAGATAAATGAGTCGAAAAATCAGAAAAATTTGAGACAAAACGTTTCTTTTGATACATGTAGTTACAAAGTAGTTACAAACGTATTTTTAAAAGAAAGCCCACCAATGAACCTACGAGAAATATGATAAAATAACCAGGAGCCCTCCGCGGAAACGTAGCAGGATACGGCAAAACGTACTTTGTCATTGTCAGAACGAAAAAAAAAAAACTTGAAACATCTCGGTTTCGGGGCTGTCTTTCGTAATTTCACTTTTTCACCTTTTTGATGATATCGGAAAATTTGAGGAAATAATTGGTTTATGACATAACCGAGTAGGAGGGTTTACTTACCCAAAGACAAGGTACAAGAAATGTTTCAGCCTCATCGTATCTCCTCTGCAAGTCCATTGCCATTTCTCTCGTCCAAGTAACGTTCGCACCAACAAGAGGATTAGACCACTCAGACGACACGTTCAGGGATGGACTGCCATATAAAACAAGCAAACAGTAATCGAATAAATGAAGAGTCGCTAAAATGAACGGTCATTCAGAATTTCCTGTCACAATCCTATAAACTCCAATTCTGAGTTATCTCCACTGCTGATTAGGAATATCTACTCACATGTTACTTCGGATGAAGTCTTGTACTGGGTTTTTTTGAATACTGACGCAGTCCAACGAGACGTTCTTCACTTTTGGATAATAAAACAAGAAGTTTAGGCACATCTCTTGAGAGGTTGATATCCCACCCTAAATATGTGAGGCATACAACAAGATGATTAAATAAACAAACAAAAATAATAACGACAAATCTTTCGCAGCGGATTCAAAAATGCATTTCGCTTTGTGAACTTACCATTACGAGCTTATCACGGTCCACAGTCTCATATTTACAGTAGTGAATCAAATCGTCTCCCTGAAGGACAGAAAAACAATAAAAAAGTTTTGGAAATGTTTGATTTACATGTTGCACTGTCGGTATGGCACTTAAAGATGAGCATATCTATGTTTTCAATATTTTGCTAACCCTTTTTGATACGTCAGTAGATTTTCAACTATTCTTAAAACTAAATTGTGGTTCTCACCGGTTTTACGTGAACCTCCTTCCTTAAAATTTGTATGTCCTGCGAAAGGAAAGTTCAAGTGTTTGTCAGAGTGTTTCCTTTACGGATAATGAGAAGCAGTAGCTCACCGATTTTTTAACTGATTGAAGGGCTAAAAACAAATGAAGAACACGTGATATTATCATGGGCCTGAATATCCCGGATGATTGTACAATCAACTGTGTATTATTCTGCTCTTGTATTCAATGAAATTTTGAACTTCCAAGCCTTTAGTCAAAATTTCTGTTGTTTTTTTATTTTTATAGAATGGCATAAGCTCGTCGATAGCAGTTAACAAATTCATCAGAAAATACATTACATGTGTATACATAATAAAGGAAACTCAATGAAATAGAGATAAAAGAAGCGTTAGATGATTCATTTACCTGAAAGTTAAAATCATAATTGTCATCTCGTACAATTTCAGGTAATTCAACTCCGTTGCGGACATGTTTCGTCCATGTTGCACGCCCTAATGGATAGATATAGCAATATGACATGTCTTTTATGACTATGATCTCGATAAAAAATAGACGGACTAATGAGACATAGCCAACCGTTCAGCATGTACCTTCTTTCTAGCTTGTATGTGTCAGCAATTCGAAGAATATGAAACTGGATTCAAGTAAACAACAATAATAGACTAACCCTGTAGATGAGTGTGAAGGAAAGAAGCAAACAACTTAATTCCTTTTTCCGGTAGTGACGTCGATTCCAACGTTTTCTGAAAGGGAAGAATAAATGGAAAAAATCGTTAAAGTGGGAAAGCATTCATGCATAACATTTACGTCAAGTGTTTGTGCAAAATATCTTTCCATGTGTAATGCCGACTCACAAGCAGTTTCTAGATCCCAAATCATATATATCATATCATATCTGCTAATCTGTTACCTGATAACACTCTTTGGGACAATATCCTTTAGTTAACCAGGATTCTTGTTTTGGCGGAATTATCATATATGAGGTGACTGCTTCTCCAACAGTCATTGTACCAGCATCGTACTCACGGAGGTGAGGAGTGTAGTGAAAACGAACTCCCGAGTTGTCTTTGCGTCCTTCAAGGCAAAGTAATGATTGGGATGTAAGAACGCAGCCCAAGAGTTCTTTTCTTTTTTTTTTTGTTTATTTGAAGCTAATAGGACCATCAAGAACGGCACAAAGGCTGTTTTGAAGCAGCTTAAAATGATCGCATGAACAGCGGAGCAAATTCACTGACCTTCAATGTTCTCTGGATTGTCATAGTGTAGTTCGAGAAAGTAACTACTTGGTGAATCTTCTGTTCCAATCGGGTAACCAGTGTGCGGTGGATAGTAAAATGCCTAAAAGTTTACAAAGTAACTAATACATGAGATCGATAACTCTGCCTCGGTGGGTTTGCAAGGTTAATACAAATAGTTTTGATATGAATTTTAGTTTCAAGAAAATCGTCAAATTAATGTATGGAATCATCAACCAAAACTGCTAACCTCGCCCCCAACTCCCCATGCTGCCACAATATCTGTAGAGCCGTAACACTGTCTTATTGGCATGTTTGGATCCTGGCAATCATAGCCAGAACCATAATGGCTGTCGTTGAAATTCCCTGAACATCCGTAGACTACAAGATGATGTACGATGCCTTCGTTTCCTTTTTTTATTATTGGCTCGAACTGAAAGATGATTGCAAGAGTTATTCATTGCGGTGGTCAGTTATCTCAGGGGAAGCGTAAAATGCCAAATCTAGTCGAAGAGAATGCGCGTAACAAACAAAATATTTAACTTACAGAAGACCATTGTCGGTCGATATGTATAAAAAACGACCAAACGATTTTGTGAAAGTGAAGCTAGGGGTCAACTCTAGATAAGAAAGACAGGGATGACAAAGCCAACAACTGTTAAATGGAGGATTTTATCGTTGAATCGCATCAAGTTTAGTTCAAATGATTAACAAACTGACCAATGGGATGACTTGATCAGCATAAAGTTAAAATAGTGACAAGATCAAGTTAAAGAAGATGGCAAGGAGACTGACATCAATACGGAGAGAAGCACATGTAATGACAAACCTTTGTTATGTGGTGTTTTCCTTTAATTTCCGGGGCCTTGACAAGAGAACACCAGTATGTTGTAAGCTTTTTGGGGATTGTAACCTGTAATATGATAATATTAAGGATTATACTGGTTACAGGGGTTTGAGACAGAAATTAGTTTTGGTTGGGAAACGATTAACATCTTGTAATCGTGATCGAGAGCAGCGCTCACATTATAACTGAAAACGTCAAATTGCTTCCATCCTTTCTCATTCACAGTTTTTTTGTCCAAGTTGTTCAGGAGAAGTATACTCCTCGAACCCCGAAAGGTATGTCGCTTGATGTCATCCTCAGAGTTTGGGTCTTCTGTGTGATAAGCAAACACGACTTTTGTGGTTCCTTGCTGAAAGAAACGTTGAGAGCAAAAGCGCATTCAGTTGCAGAGTTCCCATTCTTTCATGCTCAAATATCGAAAGAAAATTTCGTAAAGTCAAACATATATAAATGAAAAGAATATATGTCAAATGCTTAAAGCGGGTTTTATACCTCAATCTTTCTGTCTTTAGTATCACAGGTGTCAAATTTTCTTCTAAACTTCAAGACAGTTTTGCCGCCTGTTTCCTCCCAGCCAGTTAATTCGTAGTTGTTTTCACTGTCTAGTGGCGGTAGACTTTCTGCATCAGCAAAACGATCCTGATAAGAGAACAGGACTGAAAATTTATTTTTATGCATGATAGTGAAGAAACAAATGATTGTTTTCAAACCACGTTGAATAGCACGGTTCATGAAAGGACCGTTACTGTAAATAGAGTTGTAAAATTGAGTTGGATATACAGCACTTAAGAGTTATGCATCGACGTAAATTTCCCCAACTCCTCGGTTTATCACCCGTACTGTACTTTCGCTCTGACGAAGGGATAACACTCGAGACGCCAGCTTTGGAACTCTTTACGGTGGGCAATTTATATTATCTTCCAGTTGGTAAACCAAAATTACTTTGTTACTGCCACCGACGCAGAACCACAGTTTCAGTTTAGAAACTTACCACTTTTATTTTTTTTATCAACGGTACGCTTTATCAATGGCTAACCGAGCAAATCATTCACTCGACTGCTTCTCGAGGATGTGAGGGGCGACACCACTATACTGCATCTACAACTTTACTCGTAGCATTTTCAGTGAGAGCCTCCGAAAAGGTTACCAGTCGTTTAGTACACACGGTCATTTCTTACCCAGCCGTTTCGTACCCCGTTAGGTCGATTCGCACCCAGTCAGTTGAGCCGTTTCATAATCATACTAATAAAGCACGTTTTCATGTAAAGTATGTTTAAATTTAGTTCGGTTTCTTATTTTAAATAGCAATATTACCTGCGTTAAAGTGTCTATACAGCCAACAGGGGTTTTATTGTTTTGATATCTCTTTAACCTGTAAAAAAGTATTTTAAAAAAAATTTGATTCTGACGCCTC